ATAGGCCTGGGCAGGGGCCAAGCATTATTGGTATGAACTACAGAGAAACACTTTCCTGACGGCTCATTGGCTTAGCTCCTGTATGCACTGGTAATATTCTTAGTAATTTGGGTAATAAGAATCCAAATAGGTGATCTAGGGTTTTTTACCACACTCCTGGAGAAAAAGAGGAAGGTCCACTGCTGGAGGGTTAAGAAATGTCATATCCTGTCCTAGCCGGTTTTGCTCAGTGGATAATGCCTCGGCCTGCCCACTGCTGGGTTTGGGTTCAATTCTGCCTAAGGGCATGTACCTAGGTTGCAGGCTCCTCCCTGGCTGGGGCCCAGGTCAGGGCTCATGCAGGAGGCAACCAATCAAAGTGTTCCTCTCACTTTGATGTTACTCTCAGTCTTTCACTTTCTCTTCCACATTCTCTAAAAATCAATGGAAACATATCCTCAGGTGAGGATAAAAAATATAATAAAGAAATGTCATATCCTATGAAAGACACATCTTGAAAATGCCTAAAGAAAGTTGTCATTTTTTCACGGTAAAGGGACTGGAGTCCGTGTTGATGAAAACACCTTGGTGGCTGCGGTGACTGGCAGTGGCTGCAGCAGCGGGGTGATGGGGCTGGTGCCTTCCCCTGACCAGCCCGGTCACCTCCCAAAAAGGGAGACCGGACTGAGGCTTAGGCCCGCTCCCCAAGGGGAGCAGGGAGTGGGGAGTAGGACATCCCCTGAGGGCTCCCAGTATGTGATAGGGGGCAAGCTGGGCTGAGGGACGCCCCCCTCCAGTGCACAAATTTTTGTGCACTGGGCCTCTAATTATCATAAGCATTGCTGCTATTGGGACAAACATGACAGTTGATTCCGGTCATTTGAATATCCACTGTCTGTTTTAATTTGTCTGTTCGTTTTGACTCTGTCATATGCGCAAACTTCAGTGGAAGTCATGAGAACCTATTATTTTTGCCTGCTCCCTCCTTTACGTTGGAAATATTCTTTTGTACTCAGAGGGACCCTAACTTTGATGTAAGGGATTGTTTCCGTTGCCAACTGTTTTCTTCCTTGCCAAGTAAGAGAGTTGTTTTGAACTCTTCAGTGATGCCTTCCCCAGGATGTTTGCAGATGTGGTTGGGAAAAGTCATTTCATCCCCGACCTTTGCATATCAGGTGTTGGGGTGCCAGGGTGCCGCCTCGCCTGTGCCCCGGCTCTCCGATCCTGATGCGGCTCTCTCTCCCTCCGATCGCCATGGCGACCACCAGGCCGCAGGCTGGGCAGCATCCCCCGGGCCCCCGGGGGTCCCGCCTCGCCTGCAGCCCGGCTTTCCGATGGCTATCACTGGCTGGGGGGTGGGTGGGGGGGGCAGGGCAAAGGCAGCTCTTGCCTGCTGCCTGGGTTTCCGATCACTGCTCTTCTGTCCTTCCCCTTTCGCCTCCCATCATTGTGCCTACGTATGCAAATAAACCGCCATCTTTGTTGGCAGTTAATTTGCATATCGCCCTAATTAGCTAATGAGAAGCGTAGCAGAGGTATGGTTAATTACCCTTTTTGTCTTTTATTAGGATAGATCTTTTAATTGCATGGACTTTTGTAAATACCCCCTTACTATTACATATTATGTTTTAAATAATTAATAAGTATTGACTATTAATGAAATCTATTGGCTAAATATTAAGAGGCATCTTCCTGTATATTATAAGTCTTTTTGCAAGGTTCAAATGATCAGATCAGACTTCCTCTTTGTCCAGTTTGTGTTTATTCCTTACAAATGAACCTCTGTAAGGATCATCTGAAACCATCAGAAAAGTTATAAGATAGTGAATATGAAATGAGACAAGGTCCGATTCTGGATTTTTATTTTTTTATTTTACCTCACACGATTCCTTGGCTCCTCCATGCATTATTCTCTTTTGCCTGAGTGAAAAAGCTCTAAAAATGACAGAGTGTAGGGTGATGGAACTATTTGTCATCCACCAAATATCCCTAACATCTTTTCCCCTGGGGTGGCTACTGAAATTATTTTTACATAACTAATCGAGGTCACACGGGTAACTTTACATAAAATAATTGAAAGCTGCTGTAGAGTCACTTGCTTTTCTACTCATAGCTATAAAATAGGCATGTGTAATTTTTAGAAATTCTGTGTTGGCATCCTGTTATGAATGTAATAGCTTCTAGCCCAAAGCTTGGTACACAATAATCCCTGAGTAAATGGTAATTGCAAATTGTTATTACAAATTGTGGTAATTCTGATGATGATGATAATTGAGATAGTCAATAATGATGCTCCTGAAACAGTGAAAAATCTTCAAATCTCAATTATTAAAACACACCCAGGATATTGTATTTCTGTCAGAAAAAAGATATACATAATTTTCAAAAGCCATTCTAATTAAGTTTGACTAACGGCTAACCAGAGGTTAATTTCATCTGATTACTACATATGTGATCACTTGAGGTGGATTTTTAAATGTGTATAGAAATCTAAATATGTAGGAACAAAATATACTACAACATATTTGAAATTTAACAGCATAATCATCTGCTGAAATTGCTATTTTTGAAGAGCTTTATGTAAGAGAACTATAAAATTGCTGCTATAGTTCCTAAATTTTACTACCATTTGAATATTCATTTATTTCCACAGCAATATCTCCCTGGATAGCAGATGATAAGGTCCCCTTTCCAAGTAGCTATGGGGATAGATATTATACAACTGCAATACTTAGTTTTCTTTCTGTATTTGTATAACAAGAACTGTTTTGAAGATTGTCTGAAATAGGAAACAAAAACATTTGCTTCTTCAGGGATTGAAATGGCATTCCATACTTTGAAACTCTGGAATTTATGGGTTATTGGTATATTTTATATTCACAAATAGAGATGGCCTTTAAAAATGTGAACTTAAATATTCTTAGCACTTATTCTTGTTATAGTTATCATTTTTTTCACTTCAAGTGGCATTTAAATATGCTTCACCATAGATTTCTAAATTTTACTTGAGAAATTTGTATTGTAAATATAGCAGTACTTTCTTCATTTTGCTTATTTCTAAGTGTCTCTGTATGTATACTGGCATATCATCATCTCTTGCTTATTCTTTTTCAATTACAGTTTACATTACATATTACTTTGTATTAGTTACAGGTATACACTGTAGTGGTTAGACAATTATATAATTTACAAAGTGGTCCCCTCCCATTGACTTTTGATGAAATTTAAAAGTACTCTGCTGGACATATTTTCAGCTAGGAAACTTGATAGAAAACAAATATATTTTGGAAATAAGGTATTATATAGAAGCTATTAAAATTAGAAAGTATTTGTAATGTTAGTATTCACCTCATATTCTTCCTTGAGTAGAATTAACATTTTCAAAATTTATAATTAGATTAAAAGTGGTTTATAATTAGGTTAAAATGCCTTTATTGTTTTAAATTTTATAATCTCATTGAGTGATTTAGTGTATACTTTTAGCCCTTAAAACTTACTGATTACTTACCAAGTTCTTTTACAAGGGAACATATAGATAGTATATCCTTGGATAAGAATAGTCAGTGAACAAGGATTTCAATGTAATAATCATCAGTGGGAGTGAGCCTCATTTTGCATTGGAATATATAATAACAGATGAACATCCACACTAAGCAAATTTAGATTATGCCATTTTGCTTTATCCTTTTTTCAATCTAATGATATTTAACAGTTATTGTCAACAGTTGCAGAAGGAATATTAGACTAGGAGTCAGAATATTTGTATTTCAATTCCTCTCTACAACTTCCTGATGATATGACTTTGGTTAAGTTAATAACTTCCCTAGACCTCCCTTTCTTCCTCTTAATAATAATAATCGTCGACATCATCATAGTAGTAATAGTAATACCTCCCCCATATGGCTGATGTGAAAGTTAGATATAGATAAAGCATTCAGTAGTTCAGGATCTATTACATAGGGTATTCATTGAACATTAGCTATAATGCTATATTGCTATTATTATAACTTCCCTTTCTTTCCTCTTCTTCCTCTTCTCTTCTTCCTGGAAGTTAACTGATTCTTCTGCATATTTACCTGAAAACTGTGTAAAATTATTTTGCCCTGCACAAATTAAGCAATGCATATAATGCTTTAGGAAATATTAAGTTCTATAAAATCCAGAGGTGAACATTAATTAAATGTAATGGAGCTACATTTTTTAGATACTAAGTATTTTTAGAAGTAGCTGCTCTCATGGTTTAGTGAAAATACTCTAGGAAAAATTCAGCCTTCCAGATGATATAATAGCTGCAGATAAACTAACATGAGTATCAGAATAAATTAGGCAGACTTTGGCAATTCTATAAATAATATGGCTGAATGATGCTGCTGCTTAGAATATTTGGGAAAAATTGAATTTTTAAAATTGATAATTCTGCCTTATCAATTTCCAGTATGATAATAACAACTCCAGGCTTTTTTCAGGTCAAAAGAGATCCCTTTTCTCCTAAAGTATGTTCTTTGATGTACTTAGACAAGCCTAACAAGGTGATTTCCATTGAACTCTACCCTTTGTAAAGTGTGCGAGCACTTTTGAGAGCTAACCTAAAAGCCGCATTTTTGTTCTTCAGTTTCCAAATGTGACTTTGAAGCAAATAGCTGTGGTTGGTTTGAAGCAATTAGCGGTGACCATTTTGACTGGATATGGAGCTCCAGAAGTAACCTTTCTGCTGATTTTGAGCAACAGGCCCCTCCCTGTGATCATACTCACAGTACTGCCCAAGGTAAGCAATAAGCAGAGACTCTTGGGAATGACCTCAGTTCCCCTTTGGTCAAGTCTGAGAAGAGAAAGAGAAGCTGATAACATTCTATGTTTCCATGAAAAATAGTAGGGCATTTGAGCATTATCCGTTACACTCATGTCGTCTGCATGGGATTATTCCTTTATGGATGGTGGGGGTAGAGCATAGATACATTTTTTGGCTGAGTTAACTTAAATTACCAATGTTTTTGGCATCATTTAGATATAGATCATAGTCTAACAAGCAAATTTGACTAACCATCACTTCCATTGATTTTTCATTGTTGTATGGTCTTAATTTTAGTTGGACATGGAACTTATTTAGTGTAGGGTTAAGAGACAGATGTCTCACTTTATAATCTAATAGGCTAACATATGGCTTGTTTTGTATACCAACAGGGCATTTTATGTTCATTCTGAAGAAAAGCAGCAGCTTGGCACAAGTTGCTAAACTCCAGAGTCCAACCATCAGCCAGACAGGAACGGGATGCACACTTTCTTTCTGGTAAATACTATGAACAATGGTCAATTACCCTAGCAGTGCGGTGCTTGCAGGCACACTCCTGCATTTAGTAGACATTAGGATTTGCCCTTGGTTTTGCTTTAAAAATCGCTATTGCATTAGCTCCACACAATTAGCAGTTTACTTAAGAGCTCATTATCCGTGTTTGTTGTGTTCTTTCTTAAGATGAAAGGGCCTTTTCCCCTTCAGCAATATATTATAACTTAATTAACACTGCTTCTTTCTTCTGTTCTGGACTGAACTCCTTGAGAAATGCTCGTAGGGTCCTGAGAGTCAGAGTATGCACCTCAGCAGATAAGTTTTACAAAGGTGCAGCCACAATTGCTGCAAGAAATAAAGGCCTCCATTAAGATGACTAATTATTTATTGTTGACTGAGTGAAAGAGTGTAAACGTTAAATATGTAGCCTATCCCTATAAGTCATATCCATTTCTTTTGTTTACTCTTTTCCAGGTTTTATAACTATGGCCTGTCAGTGGGAGCAGCTGTGCTCCAGCTACATATGGAAAATTCCAATGACTCCACAGTGCTCTGGAGAGTCTTATATAACCAGGGCAACCAGTGGTCACAGGCAACTATTCAGCTTGGGCGCCTTACTCACCCCTTCCATCTGACCCTAGAAAAAGTCAGCCTTGGCATATATGATGGGGTCTCAGCTATTGATGACATCAGTTTTGAAAACTGTACCCTTCCCCTCGCTGCAGAGAGCTGTGAAGGGCCAGATCAGTTCTGGTGTGGACACACTAAGGCTTGCATTCACAAGCTTCGGTTATGTGATCTGGTGGATGATTGTGGTGATCATACTGATGAGGCTGACTGTGGTAGGTATATTTTTGTCCCTCTCCCACATTTGATAGTGGTGATCTTACTTAAATTTACTGTTCTTTAGTCAATTTTAGTCAACAAAGACGCTAAACATTGTTTGGGGTTGATGAATGTTTTGTGTGATTTAATTAATCAATTAGTCAAAGCCATCTGTATTTATTATGTAGATTTAGAAACTAAATACTAGTGATACAATGTTAAATACAACTATACAGCATCCTTGCCCTCATGGAGCTTAAAGCCTAGGTGAGGAGAGATATTATCCAAATATTTAATAAATAAATATAAAATAGAAGTTTTGACAAGATTTACAAATAGAGGTGATGTGACTTGATGTAATAGCGGCATTGGACTTCCTAGAGTGATGACTTAGCTGAGATCTGAAAAATAGTAAGTCAAAGCATGAAAAAGTCCCATATGTCACCGCATGGCAGAGGAAGGTAGCTAATGTGTGGGTGGGGCAAGGAGAAAGAAGGAATAGGGTGAAGGATAAGGAGAGAGGTGTAAAGGGCAGCCAGATTTGAAGGTCTTTTTAGTCCATGTTAAGGAAGTTCTTCCTTATTTGAAGGTTTTTAAGAAGAAAGCTAATATAATAAAATTGGCATATTTGAAAATGTCACTATGGATATGGTGCGTTATGAATGGATAAGAGAAGACTGTACTTAGGTGATCCATTAGGAAGCCATTGCGGCAGTCAGCAGGAGAGGAGTTGGCAGCTTGTCACAGTGATAAGGATGGAGATGGAGGGACTAAAGTTTTGGGAAATATTTAGGAGGGACAATCGATGAGGTTTTGGCTATAGGGAGCACAGAGTAAGGTGTCAAAGATAAGTCTGAGTTTATGGTTTAAATTGCCAAAAAATCTGTGTGTCTGATGATTGTGTAGCTCTTGAAATTTCATAAGCTTAGCTCCAGAGAGTACCTAATGCACTTGGTCCTGAATATGAATCAGAAGCTAATAGTTGTGATTTTATCTTTTAATTACAAAAATCTACCAGGAAAAAATTTGTATCTTTCATTTTGCAGAAATAGCAACAATACATATTTCAACTATGTGTCTCTTAAGTTGGGAGGCCAATTATAAACCACAGAAAAGCCTTAAAATGCTGGGCACATCGTAATAACCATTACATTAAGAAATTTGTATATAAATCATTGTAGAGAGTTTTGGGTATATTTGATCTTCGACATTGTCAGAAATTTCAGTGCACAACTAATGTTTGAGTGGATGTAAACAGAATCAATGATTTTAACAATGGCTATTATAAGAAGTGTTGCTTGTCCTACATCTAATTTATTATTTGCAAATTCAGAAAGCCTTTTTATCTTTTTCAAGCTTTCCAAATTCCACTCTTTAAAAATGTTTGCCCTGGCCAGGTGGCTCAGGCTAGACTAGAGCATCATCCTGTATGGTTCACCAAAATGCTGTGGGTTCAATTTACAGTCAGGGCATATACCTAGGTTGCGGGTTTGAGTCCCAGTCCGGATGCATATGAAAGGCTACCAATCAATTGTTCTCTCTCTCTCTCTCTCTCTCTCTCTCTCTCTCTCTCTCTCTCTCAAAAATCAACAAGGACATATTTTTGGGTGAAGATTTAAAAACAATGTGTTTTCTATCTAAAAGTAAGCAAATTATCCTCAAACTTGTCAGTATTAACTTTATAAAATATCAGTATACTTCTTGTGACTAAACGTTAATGACAGAAAATAAGTGTCATTAGACTGTCAGTTGCTCTCTCAGCAGTCCATCTAGACATATTACTATACTATAGCAATACATTAGCATTCTAAATCTCTGTATTTCCTGAAGTATGTTTAGGGTCTTGGTCTTTTTTAAGGGCCGAGCTACACATATTCCCTTTTGAAATGAAGACTGAGCATGTAGTCAGTATGAAGACGGGCAACATACAAATCTGTTGGCTTTCTGTCAAAAAACTCAGCAGCTTGACATTTTCCTTCTGCTCTACAGCCAAAGACTGACACCTGGAAAGGACACCATGGGTCCCCAGTTCACGTCACAGCTGGGCCTGATTAGTCACAAGTGAGGAAATAGCAAAGGAAAGCTCTTCTTCCATTTGATATTTATTCACTTGGCTCCCTCCATTAGGTCTAAGCCCCGTTCTCTAGTTTTCAGATACAGATGATTTGTTCTTGCCTGGCTGCATTTATTCACATATGCTTTTATTTATTGTTTGAGTATTTGTTCACCTTTGATGCCAAGTACAGTTGAATAAAGGACAGCTGACATTTATTTAAAAAAATATTAGATTATGTAAATGAAGCTAAAATGAAGTCATTAGTTCTAATTCCAAATAATGTCAAGTGTACATTCTGTCCCATGTATTCTAAAGAAATACTTGGTGTTGACACAATTTTCACATCTTGAAAAATGAATGTGTCCCGATGTTATCCTAGAAATGTAGGTATTTATTTGATAAGGGGCTAGTGCTTCATAAGTGCTTTGAATTCTTCTAGTGAGGACATTAGAAGTTTCCAAGCTCTAATTTAATGGAGCTACATTCCAGTGAGTAGAAAAGATGACCACTGAGGAGACATAGCTAAGAATTAGTAAGACACGGGACATAACACTTGGCATAAGTAGAGACGGGGAAAGGGTGGAATGCTTAGGGCACATTGGGAAGGACAAACAGGAAGTTCATTTAATTTGGGAAATGTGAAGCTTGAGAGATAAGAGGAGTGTAGATTTAAGTTTAGGTTAAATGAGTATATATTCAAGGATTTTGATTAGAGCAGGAAAACGATAATCTGTCATTACAGAATGGTCGTTCTGGCACAGGTGTGGAAGGGGCACTTGGAACTGGGGCAGGATGAAGCCCAAGAGAAGTTTCTCAGAGTGAGGTCTGGAAAATATCTGCTTCATATCATCTGCTACTTTTTAAAAACATGGATTCCTGGGCTTCACTCCGTGTCTAACAAACTAGTACTTGAATAGGCTTTTCTATGTAAGCAATTTTACCATATACCCCAGAGGACTCCAAAAGACTGACATCAATTAAAATATGACTCTTTTTAGTTCTGCATGTTAGAATCATCAAGGGAGCTGATGAGGTATCCTGATGATTGGCTATATCGTTTAGACCAAATATATCAACATTTTTGGAGATGAATTCTGGGTATTGTGTTTTCTGTTTTGTATTTTTAATACTCACTGGATTGGAACATTCAGCTAAAATTGAAATCCACTGAGCCAGAAGTTTGTTGCAGTGAGCCAGCTGTTGAGTTGTGATCATTTGCCTAGAATTATAGTAATAGAAATGGGGAAGGGATGGGCATAAATGGCATATGGAAAATAATGGCCAAAATAATTCCACTTTCAGCCCATAAAATATTATTACTTAATGTATTATCTAGAATTTTTCACTCTTTTTAAAACTTTACTGTTGCAAATTTTTTAGATTAAAATTGCTTACTTTGGCAGGAGTAAAATACCAACTAGTATATTAAGCAGATTTATTTTTGTCTTTAATTATCTTTTGCTATTATTTACTGCCAATTTCAGCACCTGAACTACAATGTAACTTTGAAAATGGAATTTGTAATTGGGAACAAGATACAGAAGATGATTTTGATTGGACCAGGAACCAGGGTCCAACATCAACACTTAATACAGGGCCAATGAAGGATAATACTTTGGGAACAGCTAAAGGACACTATCTCTACATAGAATCTTCAGAGCCACAGGTTTTCCAAAACACAGCTGCTTTACTCAGCCCGATCCTCAATGCCACTGGTACAGAAAGCTGCACCTTCCGCTTCTATTACCACATGTTCGGAAAGCACATTTATAGACTGGCCATCTACCAGCGAATCTGGAGTAACACAAGGGGGAAGCTGCTGTGGCAGATATTTGGGAATCAAGGCAACAGGTGGATAAGGAAACACCTCGACATTCCCAGCAGGCAGCCTTTTCAGGTATGGATAATGGCTTTCATAATGTGTATTGAAAATGCGTCATAATGTCTAAGGAATATGAAGGGTTGCTATATTTTTTAATTTAGAGAGAGTGGAATTTGATCAGAGTTACTTTGATACACATTTATCATGTAATTAAGGCTGTACCAAAGCTTGTTAAGTTGTGTTTCTCCTTGACTACCCCCAATAATGTTTGATTAAAATCTGTAAAGATGGTCACATGGCATTGGAAACAGCTGCAGGGCCCTTCGATTTTAAGTAATTGTTGTACTGAAAGAATCTGGAGGGAAAAAAGAGTTTGGCACCACCTCTGATATTCTGTAAAAAGCTCAGACTCTTAATTATGATATGTTGCATAGTTCATCTAAATATGTCACATTGTATAGGTAGGCATTTGAAATCCAGGAAGAGTGCATGCTTTGTTGGAAAATCACGCAGCTACTCTGCGGCAGAGCTAGAGTTTGAGTCTAGGTCTCCTTACTCCTGGTGGAATATTCTTTACTCTAATTCTCACCTGCCTTCTCCTAAAAGTCAAATTTACAACATCAAGTTCAAATACTTACGTGACTTTTACATATACTATTTGATCTCTCAGCAATTCTCTGAAATGGGTAAGTTAGAGTTCTCTTTTGTCAATTTTATAGATATGAAGAAATAACAGGAAAAATGTGGCTAATTTTCAAAATATATGTGTGCCACCTTAGAAGGGGCGGTCAAAGATTAAAGAAGACAGACAAAGAGAATACAGCTGGGGCTAAATGGATCTCTGACACAGAGAGACCCAGCCTGCAAACTGAAGCTTTATTTTATAGTCAGAGCACACAAAGCTAAACAAGGGAAGTGGTCAACATGTTTACAATGTTCTTGTGAGTTTCACCGTGTTTGGCAGCACTTGCTGCACCTCCCACAGCCCATTAGCTACCTAGGAAGGAACTAGGGAGGACTGTAAGGTTAAGCTTAATGATGCGAGGAGGGCTCTGCCCTCCAAGCTGGGACTTGTTTGTGGCCCTGCCACAGGTCAGTCCAAGGCTTGACCCTATAGCTGTTCCCTACATGTATGAATTCTGTAAAACTTTACCTATTTTGCCCACACTTTTTCTAAATATGTTTCAGAAGGCATTTCCTGATTTTCATGGTGCAGAAAAGACTATAACATAACAACATTATGAAGGAGAACACTGGCATTTAGATACTTTAATTTCTGGAGATCTCAATACTTCTTGGAATGTGTTTGGTGGTTGCAGTGCTGGTCATTGATAATAATTATAAAATTATTTACTATTACCAATAATATATACTAATTATTAAATGGTACATTGGTCTTAATGAAATCACATATAGTACTGCAGAAAAACCATATACAATTGGTTTGTATATGGACATGATATTGTATGTCAAATTAACATTTCCTTTTCCCAAATATATTTTCTTGGCTATTCACCTTTTAACTGGTATATTATTGCAAGTGTGGTTCTGAGAGTGAGATAGTGTCTGTAAGTCTGTGATCTAGGTACTAATATTGTGGGATACATTCATATATGCCAAGCAGTGTTCCTTTTATTCCAGTACTCTGCCACCAGTATAGTGTTCTAACTCTATCCTTAAAATTTCTATCTAATACAGATTACTGTGCTTGCTATCATAGATTGCTCTTGGATTAGCATGCTTAAAATTTTACATCCTAGACAGTTTATTTATCTTTTCCTTTTGAAGAATTCTTTTTAAGAAAATTAAAAATGGTTTTTAATTTTTAAAAATTAAAAATGGTTTTGAAAAATTAATTTCAGAGAGAAGAAGGGAGGGGGAGAAAGAGCTAGAAGCATCAATGATGAGAATCATTGATCGGCTGTCTCCTGCATGTCCCCTAATTGGGCTCAGTCCTGAAACCCGGGCGTGTGCTCTGACTGGGAATCAAACCTGACCTCCTGGTTCATAGGTTGATGCTCAGCCACTGAGCCACACCAGCCAGGTTGAAGAATTTTTATTGCTTTATCTAAGCTGGTTTATCTAATGTGTTTAATAAGACTTGCTTCATTTTTTAAAAAGTTATATAGAATTTCTTAGAACTCACTGCTAATCCCTTTTCCAGTATGCTTTTTGGAAAGGAGACACCTTTCTTTCTCCTAAATTATACTGCCAGCACAAAATTTCCATGAAAAATCAATACAGCAAAACAATTTTTTATGGAACACTGTATGTGGAGGGTCACATTGACATTTCAATAAGAGAAAGTATTTGAGCCATCTTCAATTGTAGAGGCTGTTGAATGAAAATAAGAGTTATTATATCTATTTTGAAGAAAATTTAAAACCATAGTTTCCAAAGAGGTTTCAACTCAATACTCGGCATACTACTGACCTTCTGAAAGGACAAGTTCTAACAAAGGAAACACAAATGAGATTCTTTGTCATATCTGATCTTGCCTACATGTTATATTTTTCCTTATAGTTAAATGAGGTTGTAGCTACATAATGAACGATATTTCATACAAGTACTTATTACCTGATGTTGTTGGCTGACTGTTTTATTAATGATGCACCATAAATATTATATCAGAATTATAACATTTGAAATCAATTTGAATTACTTAACAGTAAAATTCGTTCAACTACTTTCTCACCAAGTGTTTGAAGCCAGATGTACTCTCAAACCTCCAATGTTAAGAATTTATTACTTCATTGGGTTTTCTACCCTACCTCTGGACATGCTGACAGAAAATGTTTTCTTATACAGAATTGAAGAAGAGAGAGAGAGAAAGAGATAGAAATATCAATGATGAGAATCCTCCTTTTGCTTTCCCTTTGAAGACTGCGTTTCTTGGCATGAGGTCATATGGACAGTAGTCACTGATAAGTGTTACAGAAACCTAGTTTAATGCAAGTTATTGATTTTTGGGCACCACAGGAACTAGGACTGACAGTCTTCAGCTCACTTTTTTCTAACATGAGTGCTTTTTCTAAAACGTGTTTTTAAGTATGAGGAAGGCATAGGGAGGGAACATAGGCTTTCAAAGAGAAGATTGCTTAGCTAGACCTCTTAATGCCACAGAACTTTATGACTCACTCTGAAAGAATTCTGTTATGTTAAGGTAACATCTTTAGGTATAAAGTAAAAGAGATTTTTCCCAAGTGGTTTTGTGATGAAATATTTTTAACAATCTTATTCATAATCATAATTTATGTTTTCATTTATGGAATATAGTTTTACATTCTAAATGGTGCATAATATTTCAGTTCTAGGGAAAAGTGTTTCTGAAGTTATGTTGTATATTAAACAGAACTATATTTAATAATGTTAAGTTGACCCCATTTTCCATGAAATTATATACAGAAATGCTAAAAGTTTAATTACATGTGTAGCCTCATATAACATTTTTCTTCAGGGTGTGTATAGTTTCAAGAATTTGCAGTGAAAAGATTTGGATGACTAGCTTTCAGTCTGTGTAGCGACACTCCTAGATTTGTTGCTTACTGAACAGCACAATAAATCTCCTTTTACAATCTTAACTTTCTCATACACTATTTCAGCTGAATTCAGATATAATCACAGCTTATTATGTCAACACTTCATCCAGTCCTGATATAAAGTGATGAACTTGGTTTCCAGGCTGAAGAAAAGTGACTAGAGAAGGGAGAAGAACAGGTTAGATGGAGGTTATTACAAGAGTGTATATAACAGAAAACAAGTTTAATTTCTTAAATAAATTAATTTTATATCCTTCTCCACTTGTTACAGCTTCTATAATACTAAATTTTATCTAATATTTTGACCCTCCAAAATTATAGTAAAATATAATTGTGGAACATTAAGCATTAGAAATATACTTTATATACAGAGGTGGCAAAAGTAGGTCAACAGTTGTATGTGAAACAGAGCTTATTCTTGTACTAGAGGCCCAGTGCACAAAATTCGTGCATGCGGGGTGTGTGCATCCCTCAGCCCAGCCAACACCCTCTCCAATCTGGGACCCCTTGAGGGATGTCCGACTACCCAGTGGGATCAGGCCTGATTGCCCACAACTGCCCTCCTCTGCCAGCCATCTGTGTCCACTTGGGGGCAGCCATCTTGTGTTGGAGTGATGGTCAATTTGCATATTACTCTTTTATTAGATAGGATTATTATTTATTAATTATTTTATTATTTATTTGTCTTACAACTTTTGCGCACACCTGTATTATTAATAATATATGTGAAATATTTATTATTATTGTGTGTCATTGAGCATTGCAGAATCATAAAAAATAATATATGCTATGGTAATATTCAAATCCTATATAATAAAGAGCTAATATGCTAATTAGACCATACACCAGAATGACTGTCTGGATGACCTTCCGAACGAAGCTAGGGCTGCGAGGGCCGAGCCCCTTGCTGAATTTTGTGCATCGGGCCTCTAGTATTTCTATAATCCATGTTGGAAAAAACAAAAGAAAGATAAAGGAAGAAAGATTTGGGTTGTGAGCTTGAATTCTTAAAATTGCCAACTAGTTGGTAAAAAGGAATAGAAAATTATTAAGTATAAATGAATGCTTTAATTCCAGTATGTCCCTTATCCCTTCACAGTCTATGCCCTGTTTTGAAACTTCTTATAACTATGTTTTTGTTTCTTTTTCTCCCTGGTGCTGCATATATAAGCCATTTGTACTCTTTCTTCTCATAGATACTTCCAAATCACTTTACCCTGCCTTCTGGTTTAGTAGAATGGAACAAGAAAACGTAGACTCGTGTGGGGGTTGCCATTTCTGATTGTGCAAATTTGCCACCGTGAGACTGTCAGCTGAGGGGCTCTGAAAGGGGAGGATATCTCAGTTGTGGAATTTACTTGCCATTTTGGAATTTGCACGAAAGTGCTGGATATGCTAACAGCTGCCTTGCTGGCCTCTTCTTTATAAGGAAGTATTTAACTATACTTATGTGAAGCTGCCATATGAAGAAATGTATTAGATTACCAACTCTAGGTTATTTTGCTAAAAACTATACTTTTAAGTATCACACCAGATAAGAATCTTCTTACTCAGACAGTAGCTGTGTATCTGGCTGGACAAACAAAAGTAACAGTTTATTCCCTTCTGATGTATTGTTTATTCTCTACAAATAGATGTCTATGAAATGTCTTTCAAATGTGTTTTTCTCTGCTGTTCCAAACTTGTTTTGATCATGTGAAACACTTCAGATTTGCTTTTTCTCCATAAGTTTTTTTTAACAGTATAAAATATTGAACCAAATAGTTTTGCTAGCTGATATTGATGACACATGATTTCAGCTTTTATCTTCAGTAGAAAATCAATGCGTCACAGCATTCACTAAGAAAAAGGTTTGGGACTCTTTGTAATCCTTTGTCAGGTGATTGCTTTATCTTGATTTATGCCTTTAAACTTTTTCTCATTCAGCAGAAAATATTGTATCGCTATCTGTGAGAGCAAAGCGATCTATACCAATTTATGCTCAGAGTGCAGCTTCCTTCCAGGATTGTTTATGGAACATATTAACTCACAATAGATTAGAGACACAATATCTTTTTCCCCTTAAATATGTCATATTGATGATTTTGGTTCACAACCAATTTTTTATATTAAGATTTTTAGTAAAAAATATTTCTTCATAAGATAAAAGGGGATTGTAGGTGATTTTTATTCTAATGCTTCCCAGAATTTCAGGGTCTAAAAAGAAATTCAATGCTCTTGGTCTTAATAGAATTGTCCTTATGGCAGGATTGCCAGTTGGACCTGCTTTAAGGAGCTATTCTGAAATTGTTTTTAAAACAGAAAACAGCATCGTCAACTATTGCCAAAGTATGATTTGATTATACACTTAAAAAAAATCTTCACCAGAGGATATTTTTTCCATTGTTTTTCAGAGAGAGTGGAAGGGAGGGAGGATGGGAGGAGAGAGAGAGAGAGAGAGAGAGAGAGAGAGAGAGAGAGAGAGAGAGAAAGAAATCAACTGGGGAGCAAATCCACAACCCAGGTACATGCCCTTGATTAGGAATAGAACCCAAGATCTTGTGTATGTGGGGTCCATGCTCTATCCACTGAGAACACTTGCCAGATCTGATTATAAACTTTATTTAAAAACTAATTTCTTAAAATGAAACTCAACATATTACCTTCCAAGTATTTTTACCCAAATATACATTATTTGCTTTATTATATCATTATTTATGTAGGAAACAATATTTTATTGTTACCATTTTGAACCTTTTTAGGTTTACTTTCTCATATAGAAAATGTTCTTTTCATTTCATGATATAAAGCCAAGGGGAAAAACTAAAAATATGAATGGATGCAATTCTGAAATGTTTAAGGTTTAAGATATTTTTTATACCTGAGCCGGTCTTCAGGAGAGTTAAGTGTAGAGGATGAAGATGAATAAAAGTCCTAAAAAATGATAAAAATAGAAGTCAGTCCACATGACCCCAAACTTATGATTTATTGGGGAAACCATGATGTACCTAAAGCCTCTATTTATACTGAATATCTGACAAAAACTTTTCCTCCCAATTTCTGTGAGAGTTGCTGCCAATTGAAATTTTATTTGCATTTGGAATAACTGAAATTTTCAGGAAATGTGGAAGGTTTATAAAACCTTCACTTTGTAGAAAGTTTGGAATAGGTATCCTTGTGTCTTTGTCAGGTATAGGCTGTTTCTACACTTCTGTGTCTCTAAATTCATAATTTTATTCACATGTATATGTGCAAATACATTACTATCATTTTTTGTAAGTGTCATTAGTATGATTATTCTTTTAACTGCAGTGTTCTTACTGCTTCAATCACTACAGAGCAGACCTTAGCCCACAGTGTCCTTGTAATTCCATCTAAATTAAAACACAGTCAAAAGCAATCAAAATCTACTACAGAGCACCCAGGCTCTGTTTTAGGATAGGATTATTTGTCTATATCCAATGCAATGTGTAACTATAGGGTGTCCCCCAAAAAGTATACACACACTGAATAATTATGAAGGCAGTGTTTATTAAAATAGGCTTCATTTTCAAAATTGAACTATCAGCTGTTAAAGTATGTATACATTTTTTGGGACACCCTGTACTTGTTTTGACCTCCAAGACTCTATTGCTCTTCCCTTGTTGTTGTTGTCCCTGGCTTTCTGATCTTTGATTTGATTACATTTTAAGATTTTCTTCTTGCTTCTTTCTCAGTTTCTCTGATATCTCTGCTCTCATAGGTAATGGCAGCTTGCTCTATAATTCTTGGCATTGTTCTGTTCAGATAACTGCTAATGACAGAGGTAGGTGTTTCATGTGTCATTCTATCCAAGTAAACTCTGTATATCCTGGGACTGCAATTTGTACTGACATTACACTGATATTAAAAATTATAATGTTATACTACTACTATAATTTATTCAGTGTTATAACATTACATCAACCTGGAACTACTATTTAGTGTAAAATGTGAGGTCACTTTATTTTACATTTACATTTTATAAAAGAAATTTAAATACTTTTTCATTGTTTCCCAAGAGGAAGGGAAAAGGAGAGAGAGATAGACACATTAATGATGAGAATCACTGATTGGCTGCCTCCTGCATGCCCCCTCTAGAGGATCGTGCCTGCAACCCTAGGCATGTGCCCTGTTCCAGAATTGAACCCTGATTTCCAGGTTCATGGGTCGATGCTCAACCACAAAGCTATACCAGCCGGCTATTTTACATTTAAGTAGCTCAAATTAAAGTTGGATTTTTGATACAATACATTTAACTTTTCACTGCATTATAGATTATATTCAAGCTATCGAACAAAATACAATATAGACTTCAGAGTAAAACTGCTTAAGTTCAAATCCTAGCTCTGTCATTTATTAGCTGTGTAGCCTTAGGAAAATTATGTAACTTCCATATGCCACCATTTCTTTACCTATAATTGGATATAATAATAGTACCTACCTTGCATAGTTTTTGTAATTATATTTTATATATGTACCAGAGGCCTGGTGCACAAAACTCGTGCACAGGTAGGGTCCCTAGGCCTGGACAGCAATCAGGGCCGATCGGGGCCTTACGGCTGCCAGCCGGGGCCTTCCTTCATTCCATACCACCCCCTGGTGGTCAGCGTACGTCATAGCAAGTGATCAAACTCCCGAGGGGACAATTTGCATATTAGGCTTTTATATATATATATAGGTATATATCCTATATAATAAAAGTATAATATGCTAAGTATCTGACCAATTGGTCAACCACTCGCTATGATGCACACTGACCAACAGGGGGTAGATGCTCCCACCGGTAGGTTAGCTTGCTGCTGGGGTCCTGCCAGTGGGGATTGGGCAAGAGGGCTGGACATGCACTGGAGCCCTCCTGCGGTCACTCCCCAGCTGGCTGGCCCCCATTGCCCCCATCGGGACTGGGTAAGATGGCCTCAATCGGCTCCAAATGCTGGCCAGGCAAGGGACCCCACCCATGCATGAATTCGTGCACCAGGCCTTTAGTAATTCTTATAAAAGATCAAGGCATACAGTAATCACTCAAATACAATAGTAAGAATAACAGCAATAACAACAATAATTAATATGTAATAATAATAAATTTACTAGGTATTATTATTAAGTTTAAAAATAAAAATTGAAAGCTATCTTTGAACTAGAATAAATATTATAGAACTAGTGGCCCAGTGCATGAATTCATGCACATTGAAAGGAAATTAATTAGAAGAAATATTTTAATATTGCTATTCTCCCTTTCTCTAAAATAGAAGTGTCAACCAAATTCACGTTCGACAATGACAGATGAAAACACATGCATGTGATTGGCGCCAGTGAGAGCTTTATATGTATCGCGCATGCACAAACAAGTCAACTTAATCTTTTATAGATATAGAATAAACCTGCTTAATTAGACCTGCTTTCTGATTTAGCTAAACTTTTTTCAGCCCAGTGAAGCACCCCAACTTCTCTTCCAGGTAATTGTCAACAACACAGCAGTAAATATCAACACAAGGCAGATTATTATTGTAGATCATGCAGGGAGAAAAATGGGTAAAATATTTAATTGCAGCAGTGTTTGACTATATTCTGTGCAGTGAGAAAAACCAGTCAAGGTCCACTATTTCTTACTTCTTTTCTCTCGGGTCAAGTTTATAAGCTTTCTAAATCTCCATTTTCCGGCTAATGAAAAGAAAATAGGATTTCACTGAGTCTCCTATCTACCTACTCCAGGACTTCTGTGAGGATCAAATGAGATGAGGCATGGGAAAACACTTCACAGACATCTGGTTACAGTGTAAAATGTTTCCACCTGGCTATAAAGCAAGTCATTACTGAGCTGAAGACACTACCAGTAGGCTAGTTGTCACTAGGGAGAGGAAGCCACCTGTTGCTACGTGATGTCACTATCTGGATGGACACTTAGCATATTAGCCTTTTGTATATATAGATTTCTATCCCCTTTCTAAATGATTGAGGACTTAAAAACCATTTGATCTATCTTCATGCTTAATTATTCTAAACAGAAAAGAAATCATTGGTAGCCAGAGAAAACTGCCTTTGTTTTCTCTTAGCATGCAGGAGAATGATAAAAGGTAAGTGCATAATAGTACTGAATAATAGCCACAAACAATGACACAGTCTACCAAAATTTGAAAAATAATAAAGAAATAGTATGGAAAACTTTATGCCAATAAACTGAGCAACTTGGATGAAATGAACACAAATCACTAGTACTAACTCAATAAGAAAAAGAAATGCAAAGTGTCCTGT